GTCCTCCTGGCCAGTTGCTGCCCTGTAAAGCCCGTGTGTCCAACACAGCAGCCTGGCCTCCACCTCTCACATGCTGGATGGGATTACAGGTTTGTGTCACACACACCATACTGAAGTCATTTTTTTTTTTTTTTTTTTTTTTTTTTTTTTTTCCTTTTTTTTTTACTTCACGCTGGCCTCAAACATGTAATCCTCCTGCTTCAGTCTCCTGAGTGCTAGATGACAGGTGTGCCCCACCACACCAGCCTCAGCCTTGTTTTTTTCAGCACAGTGTGCTCATGTCTGTGGGGAGACTGCCGTGCAGTTGAGAGACAGCAGCCCAGAGAAGGTGCATGGCAGTGCTGTTTGGGCCACATTCTATCCCATCACAGTGACTCGCATCACTTCCTCCCGCCCTACCTCTAGAGCAAAATCCAGTCCTGGTTGGGATGTGTAACTGTGGTCTAGCTGTTCCTGCTTTTTCAATTTTAAGAGGTAGTCTTGGAGGTGGACAGAGATTAAAGAAAAGACACTAGAACACATATCCATAGTAACAAGCATACACCATGCATACATACAGCAACACACACACACACACACACACACACACACACACACACACACACACACACACACACCTACACACCTACACACTTGACTTTTCGTTTTGAGACAGGGTCTGTCTGTGCAGGCCTGAAACTTCCTACATAGATCAGGATGGCCTTCAACTCACAGAGGTGTGCCTGCGCCACCGGTCCAGCCCCACTTTTTTTTTTTTTTTTTTTTTTTAAAAAAAAAAAAAAAAAAAACAGAAAGAAAATATAAAAGGGCAGGGCAGTTGTGGCACACGCCTTTAATCCCAACACTGGAGAGGCAGAAGCAGGTGGATCTCTAAGTTCAAGGCCACCCTGGTCTTCAGAGTGAGTTCCAGGACAGCCAGGGAAACACAGAGAAACCCTGTCTGGAAAAACAAAACAAAACAAACAAACACAAAGAAAAAGAGAAAGGAAAAGAAAAACAAAACAATCAATTTCTATGGGGTCACGTTAGATGGTGAGCAACTTAGAGGTTGTTGGCTGCACCAAATACACCTCTAGTTTTAAAAAAGACTGTAATGTATATGGCTCATTCTGAATCATTTTATTTAGTTATATGTTTGTTTTTACTGTGGCCTGGGGCTCAACCCAGGGTCTTACACCATTGAGTTATGACTCCAGCCCTTTGGCTCAGTCTAGGCAGCTTGTCATTTGTCCTTGAGCCTTCTGATACAACTCTCATTGCTCAGGGTGGATTCTTTACTGCTGTCATTTCTGCTAGGAAAATGTGTTTTAGCAGTTCCATGGTTTTGTCATCAGGGGATTAAGTTTCTGGGAAGTGGTAGTCACGCATAGGAAGGAAACCTTTTATGGACAAGGTGCGGCGATATATTATTTATGATTTAATAAAGACTGCCTGAAGTATCAGAAAGCAAAGCAAGCCACACTAGCTAACTGTAGAAGCTAGGCAGTGGTGGTACACACCTTTAATCCCAGGACTCAGGAGACAGGCCAATGGATCTCTGTAGTTCAAGGCCACCCTGGCCTACACAAGAGTGAAGAGTAACAGAGCTGACTTCTTTGGCCCCACCACTTGGGATCACACGCCTTTAACCCCAGGCCTAGAGAGATACATAAAAGACAGGAGCCCAGTATTTATTCTCCAGCCACACTGAGGAGAGATTACAGTCTGAGGATTGATGAGAGCTCATGGAGACAGGATCAGCCCCTTCAGTCTGAGGTAGAGGTAAGGGCTAGTGGCTGGGTGCTTTGCTTCTCTGATCTTCAGCTTGAGGCTTGATCCTCAATATCAGTCCCTGGGTTTTTATTATTTGTGTTACATGTATCTGTGCCTATTACCTGGAAAATGGTGCATCTTGTACATAAACTTATCTATAGACTCCGACTGGAAAAGACCCATGGTAACCTGTTGGAAAAGCACTGCATGTCAATTCACTTAAGGTGCTTACTGCACTGAGGATGGTTTAGTATTTAATTATCGGCATTCAACATGGCTCCCTGACATTAACTGAGCTTCCAAAATGCTGTGTCATATGAGGTGTCGGTGAGGCAGGACTTGAGGTTCTGTGACTTTACTTGGTGGGTTGTTTTGTTTTGAGAACCAGATCTCACTTAGCCCTGGCTGGCCTTGAACTAGCTACGTAGCTGAGGATAACCTTGATATCCTGGCCTTCCTGTCTCCATCCTCACCCTGTCTACCTTGGAGGTGGACTTGGAGGATCCTGATCTCGAGGTCAGTAATAGCTGTAAACTAAGTTTGAGGCTAACCTGAGCTACATGAGGCCCTGTCTCAAGCACAGCACAATACAAAATAAAAAGAAGAGAAACTCACTTTGGGGTCATGGACTTGTTATCTCTGTAGAAGTAGCCTTGGAATGGTGTGCTGGCTAGTTTTATGTCAACTTGACATAAACTAAACTATCTGAATGGAGAGAACCTCAAATGAGAAAATGCCTCCATAAGTCATGCTGTAGGCAAGCTTGTAGGGTAATTTCTTAAATAGTGGTGGGGGTGGCAGTCAACTGTGGGTGGTTCCATCCCTGGGCTGGTGCCCCTGGGTTCTATAATAAAGCAGGCTGAGCAAGCCATGAAGAACAAGCCAGTAAAAAGCACTCCTCTGTGGCCTCAGATCTTTTCTCTAATGGTTCCTGCCCATTAGAATTCCTGCCTTGGCTTCCCTCAGTGGTCTGTTATCCAGATGTGTAAGTCAAATAAACCCTTTCATCCGTTGCTTTTGGTCATGGTGTCTTATCACAGCAATGGCAAACCCTGACTAAGACAAATGGGAAGAGCCAAGAATCCTACTGTGTGAAAAGAGAATCCTGGGAAGAAGAAGGCCCTGTATTGTAACCCTATCTGCTTCAATAGCCTGAGCTTACTCCCTAGTTCACAGTAGAGGGATCTTGTTTCTGGCAGGGAAACTTCTGACGGCTTCTCCTGTCCTTGCTCCTGTAGGCCCGCCCTTCTTTCTTCTGTTATGCTTCTCAGGTTGGATCTCCCCATTCATTTCCTTAATCACCTTAATCCCACAGTCTGATTGCTCTCATTTGCCTCTGGTTCTAGGGCCAGGTAGTCAAGGTGACCTTTCTATATTGCTTGAGCATATCTTTAACTATAGTGCATTTTGCAGATTATCTTTCAAGGATCTTGATTACAGAGTGTCAAACATGCTGGTGATTTAATGATAGCTTTTAAAGACAAACCATGGGTTATTTTAGAAATACAAAAATGTGTAATTGAGTGTGTTGTAGAGTAGAAGAAATGGATTTGGTTTATTTTTGTTGATTTATTGCTGTGATAAAAAGGGATTCTTAGAGGTTGGCTGCACATAGACATTTCTGGCATTATTCCATTGTTTTTGTTTTTGTTTGTTTGTTTGTTTGTTTGTTGTTTTTTGAGACAGGGTTTCTCTGTGTAGTGCTGGCCATTCTGGAACTCTCTATAGATCAGGCAGGTCTCGAACTCACAGAGATCTGTCTGTCTCTGCCTCCTGAGTACTGGGATTAAAAGTGTGTACCATCACTGCCCAGCTCCATTGTGTTAAAGTAAGGAATCCTGCCAGGCGGTGGTGGCACACGCCTTTAATTCCAGCAGTCAGAGACAGGCCGATTTTTGAGTTTGAGGCCAGCCAGGTTTATAGAGAAGAGTTCCAGGACATCCAGGGCTACACAGAGAAGCAATCTGTATTTGGATCCCTTGAACCCACATAAAAAGCCAAGCATGGTGGCTTGTGCCTCTGACCCCAGCCTTGGAAGGTAAAGGGACAGAGACAGGCAGATTCTTGGCTCACTGGCCAACCAGCCTATCTGAAGTAATAAATTTCAGGTTCAGGGACAGACTCTCAAAAAATAAAAAGGTGGAGAGTGAGGAATGGAACTCAGCATTGACCTCCAGCTTGCACACATGCAAACACCCACACGAGCACACACACACACACACACACACACACACACACACACACAGCAAATAAATACAACACATACACACTGAACTGTCAGGTTGATGTTGGGAGAGCAGGGCGCGCCAGCCAGCCACTATCCAGGGCCCTGCTGCCTTCTGAGTTCTGGTTAGCTTATTTTTGAAATGGAGCTTGTTGAGGGTGGGTGGAATTCTGCTGGGGGCTGGGAGGACATAGAAGTCCCAGGCATTGTGGATCTGTACCTCGGGAAGGGGGAGGCAACTGCAGCTCAGAACCTTTACATTTTTGGTCTCCTTGTGTAGCCCATGCTGACTTCTTCCTCAGGCTGCCTGTACTAGGACTAGTCCTGAGCTACATGGCCTGGCTGCATTGCTCTTTATTTTAAATCCTGAGCTACATGACCTGGCTGCATGGCTCTTTATTGTAAACACTGATCGCAGGAAGCTCTGAATGCATTTAGAGGGAATGCAGGCTTCTGCATTCTCCTCCTCTTCTTCCTTCTCCCCCTCCCCCTTTTGGGCAAATGGCCCAAGCTGGCCTTGAACTCACTACCTAGCTGTGTAGGTTCGGTGCTGGGTTAGAACCCAGGACTTTTCCTACTCTGTGGACAGAGCTACATTCTGAGCCCAGTCCTGAATTGTCCATGTAGTGAATCCAGATTGTCTTATGCTGGTGAAACTTGTGTCAGATGCCGACCCTGTTAGGAAATTCCTGGGGATTGTGTAAACTACCAGCGCTTTGGGTGTTTGGACAACAGGAGTTTGGCTGACTCATCATGGTCTTAACTCTCTGTGCCTCTCTGAGAGTCTGCCGGAAAATTAGAGAGAAGGTAATGTTCCCAAAGCAAGCTTGTGGTTGTGAGCTACTGGGTGGGTAATGTTCCCGAAGTAAGTGGGTGGCTGTGAGCGAGTGATTTCACAGGCCTGATTCTCATGGCTGTCCAGTTGCAAGTAATCTGGAGGGGGGAAAGAAAGGTAAGTATCGAAATTTGCTTAAAATCAGAAAGAGCACATGGTTATCTATTTAATTTGTGGTTTGTTGTGTACAGCCGTCAGCTTTGTGCCACCAGACAGAATTGGGAACTGAGGAATCACAAGCAAGCCTTCTTTTTACTCCTGGTAACCGCTGACTTCGCAGAACACAAACCCTTCCTTCAAGCTACCACGTCTTCCTGATTTGGGTGGGGCCCTGAAAGATGGTGGGGTGATAGCTAATGAACCTGAGAATTCTGCTGAGTCAGGACTTTGCCTGTGCTGGTGCTGGTCGCCCATGGTGAACTGCCAAATAGGATTGCCTGGGCACAGCATCTACAATTCAGAGGTGGGAGATATTTGTGTGGCCCCTGGGTAAGTGCTGGCCCAACACTTGACTTTCCTTGTTTTGTTTTTTGATTACTATAATCAAATTTTATGGTACAATTTCTGTTTCCATTTTCCTTTTCCATTTTCTTTCTTCTCTAGTGTCCAAAACATTGTTGCTTTTCCTTTCTGTAGCTGGAATTTCATCCTGTCCAGGCTGGACTTGAACTCCTGATCTTCTTGCCTGTACCTCTCAAATGCCGGGATTATAGGGGTGCATCACCATGCCTGGCAATATAGGTTTCCTGCAACATTTTCATACATACATGTCATTGTACTCTGCTCATATTCTGTCCACAGCCCCTACTCTTTCCCCACATAGTCCTGTGTTTTGCTTGCATGTTATATACATTCTACATATTAGAGAAAATGAAGTATTTGTCTTTGCGTCTGGCTTATTTTAATTAACATCATTAACTCCAGTTCCATCCACTCTTCTGCAAATGACATTTGGTTGTTCTTTCTCCACTGCATCTATGTACATTCTTCTCTTTATCTGTTCATCTGTGGATGGGTATCTAGGCTGATTCCACCCATCATTTGGCTATTGTGTATAGTGGTACAACAAACACAGATGTTCAAGAATCTCTATAGCATGCTGACATAACACTTAGGCTGCAGAGAGGCACCTTTATTTTTTATTTATTTATTTATCCCAAGGTCTGGTGATGTAGCCTGGCCTCCAGCTCTGTACTTTTCCCCACTGAGCCTTCCGCAGATTGTACTGGGCACCACTGCGCCTGCTCAGATATGAACCTCTAAGCTGTTGGAACAGCTCTCTGAAATCCTTTGTTTCTGTGTGAAGCTGGAGACACCAGATCCCTCATACACCTGCTTTCTCATCGTCAGAACAATAGGCCCCCTGGTTCACTACCCAGTCTCTGGTCTCAAAGACTTGCTTGCAAAGGTTACTTGCCTTCCACGATCACTCTGGGATTTGAGAAATATATGAGCTTTTGTTATTAGAAGAAGGACTTGAGGTGGGCCTAAGGAAGGACTTGAGGCTGTTGTTGAAACTAATTTAATTAAAGGATCATTATCTGACCAAGTGAGAGTGTTTCACTTCTCAAATGATTAACTAGTGGTAGGCCCTGCTTTGGGGATGGGGCAGGTAGATACTAAGAAGGGCTAAAAATAAATAAGCATGCTTATGATAATTTCAGTGTAAGAAGAAAAATGTAGAGTGGAAAGGAATGGAATATAGGGCTTATTGACAGGCTCTTGTAATTTTTTTCTAAAAAAGATTAATGTACATGAATGTCCTATCTGCATGTATACCTTTATGTCAGAACAGGACATAAGATCCTGCTATAGGTGGCTGTGAACCACCATATGGCTGCTTATTTATTTATTATTTATTTAATGTACGTGAGTGTTCTATTTGCATTGTTAGACCCCCGAAAACTCAAGTATCCGGGGTCTCAGGCCACGACTGCGGTCATCCGAATCACCAGGCAGATTCGAGAGCTTGCTGCAAACTGCACGAGGCTTTATTGTAATTTAACAAGCTAACCCCATGTTAGCTCGGGTCTTTCACCCACCCCCCATGGCGGATGGCTAGCAAAAGAGGGCTCCTAGGGTCTCCCGAGAGATCTTATAGGACAGCGTAAGAGGAGTGTCTAGGGGTACGCACAGGCTCACGATTGGTGTGCCTCCAGGCTTGGAGGGCTTGCCCTGTGTTGATTGGTCAACTGGTTGTTATGGCCCATAGGCCCTCCCAGGGTGGTTGCTATGCTCTCTACGTCATTGCTGTGCGGCTGTCCATAAAGCACACCCAGGGTCGTAAAGAATAGCGCCACCAGCTAACTTCTGATTGGTTCCTTGTCACGAGGCATCTGACTTTCTAGTGTCTGGGACAAGGTCATAGAAGCACGTGTTCAGCCGTTATGGCTGCCAAAAGGGAAGCTGGTCCCTTCAGCATGTATACCTTTATGCCAGAATAGGCTGTGAACCACCATATGGTTGCTGGAATTGAACTCAAGACCTCTGGAAGAGCAGTCAGTGATCTTAACCATTGGGGACAGGCTTTTTTTTTTTCAGATTTTTTTTTATTTGAATTAGAAACAAGATTGTTTTACATAACAATCCCAGTTCCCTTCTCCCTTCCGTCCTCCCCTATCACCCCACCCCCAACTAAAACCCTATCACATATCTTTTCTTCTATTCTTCCCCTGACTCAACCTTTCTGCTCCCTCATGACCTCTGCATCCTTCCTCTTCTTCCTTTCTCATTCTCCTAGCTCCCTCCCCCCTCTTCCGGTGCTCTCAATTTGCTCAGGGGATCTTGACCCTTTCCCCTTCTCCAGGGTACCAAGTATGTCTCTCTTAGGGTTCTCCTTGTTTACTTGCTTCTCTGGCAGTGTGGGTTGTAGGCTGGTAATCCTTTACTCTAGGGGACAGGCTCTTTTAAAAGAGTAGAGCCAGCACGGTGGCTCACACTTCCATGTGTGAGTACCAACAGGCTTGTGGCAGTCGGTGGACAGCACTCAGGAGCTCTCCTTCCACCATGGGCCATGTACAGCAAACACTTCTACCCTCAGCCATCTCACCTGTCCCTCCCTCATGAAATCAGTCTCCCACTCAGAATCCTCTGCTTCAGTCCCTCTACCCCCACCCCCACCCCATTGCTGGGATTGCAGTGAGTAATTTATAAAACAGTTATTAAGGGCTTAGAGAGATGAAGACCTCTGGCTGCTCCTCCAGAGGATCTGGGTTCAGTTCTCAGGGAATCTGACCTCCTGTCTGGCTGCCCTGGAATGTGGTGAACATACATATATGCAGGCAAAGAACCTGTACTCATAAAAATAAAACTTAACAAAAATCTTTTGTAAAATGTTCAGCTGGGCATGGTGGGTCACACCCGTTTTCTTGGTACTTGGAAGGTAGAGACAGGGAGGGGTTCAAGGCAAGCTTCAGCCACAGAGTTAATTCAAGGACAGCCTAGGCTACATACATGAGACCTTTTATTTGACTTGGGGAATATCTTTTGTTTCATTTATTTTTTGTGGAGTTTGTTTAGGGTGCATTTTCCAGACAGATGAGCAATTTGGCCCTCCCTCCTTCTTTTCCGAGCACTCCCGCCCCCATTTGTGTGCATATTTGTTTTGTTTTAGGAGTCTGGGGTCTCCTGTAGCCCAGATTGGTCTCAAATTCTGTAGCTGAGGATAAACTTGAACTCTTGATTTATTTCCACCATGTAAATGCTGGGGTTAGAGACCTGCGGCACTAACAGGGATTCCATCTTTTTCTTCTTAAACAAGGGCCAAGTATATCTTGACACCTGGATCCCCCATGTCAGTGTTATTTCAAAAACAAAGTTGAGTACTGTTTGGTTCCTTTTATTTTCTTGGTGCAGAGATACGCTGGGACTCCTGAGTCACACTCACAAATGGCAGAATGGGAACTTGTAATTCTACTTTCTTGGCACTGACTCATGTGAGATCTGTGCTTGCTTCTGATAGACTGTCTGGTTCCACCTTGCTGAAGTGGAAATAGCTATTCAAATATTCAAAATTCAATAGCAGTTAACATTGAGATTAAATTAAATTGTTTATTCAATTTGTAGCCTCAAACCATATTATTTTGTGACAACCCAATTTTCATAGTGACTTAGAACTGTGCCCCTAGCCTACAATAGTGTGTGTCCTTCTAACATGGAAGCACGTGGCATACCACCCTCAGGTGTCCTGATGGGCATTTGGTGCACAGGCTGGACTTGCTGCCTGCTGTTGTGTCCAGGAACCACAAGAGGGCAGCTTGCTCAGAGAAGCCAGGTAGGAAAGTACTGTTCTTCGGAGGGGGGAGACTTTGGACTTTTTCAAAACGGTTCTGCATCAGGAAGCCTTTTTACATCCCAAACCACACAAAGAGAGGAAGTGCTCAGGACAAGTTCAAGAAGAGTTCTTCCCCACACATACTTCCCCCTTTCTTTGGAATATAAATATCCATTTCCTCAGGTGGCATTCTCTCCTCCATCTTTCTTACCTTCAGTCTTTATTGCGGTATCATTTATACTTTTCAGTATACTTTTCAGTGTGTGTGTTCTCTGAGTGTTTGTACCTGAAAGCTAGGTGTCTTACTCTTACTGCCCACCTCATTTTTGGAGACTATTACTGCATATAGCACATTTTTGAGGACTTGCACTGTAAACAGCACAGCACTCTATTGGCTAGTCTGGCTGACCAGAAACTCCAGGGATCAGTCTTTCTCTGCCCATCCTCCACCCTCCCTTTTACCCCCCTCCCCCAAGTTTAAGGTTACTAGTATGTGTGTTTTTGTTGTTGTTTGTTTGTTTGTTTGTTTGTTTTATATAGGTTCTGGGAGTTGAAACTGTCACCTTGTAGCTTCTGCTTTGCTTGGAGCTCTTTGTAGCCCAGGGTGGTCACAAATTTGCTGTCTTCTTCCTGACTCAGCCTTCCAATGCTTGGCCTTCCATGCTTGGATTCTCTTCTGTCTGAAAATTCTACATTCATTCACAAATATTATTTTTCTACACATGATCTTGCCCAAATGCTGAGAAGGTATTTATTATGGTCCTTTCTTGAAGGCTGTGTCAGAGCCTGGGAGAGAGCCAAGGAAATCAAACCCGTGGTATCCCTAGACAACATGTAGGCTTTTAACCCTTTGTTACCTTGTTTTAGTCTGGCTTGTGTTCGCTGAGAAGAACAACCTGTAGTTACACAATCATTAGCTTCTCATTTGTTTTTTCATGTTTATTTCTGCTTTAATTAGCATCCATTGTACTTACTTACCTACTTAGACTAATTAACTCAAGGAATCCTTCCTATTAGAGAAGTGCTGTTCTTAGTCCTGCAAACTGACAGATATGTGAGGAGAGTGGCTACAGTGACACTTGGGTGATAGGAGGGAAAGGACATTTGTTTTCTGATGGCTAAAATGTTGTTTTTTTTTTTTTTAAAGTAATACATTTTCTCACATGGGTAGATGACTAAAATCCTAGCACCAAAGAGGTGGGGGCAGAGAGAACAGGAGTTCAAGGTCAGCCTCAACTATATAACTCTATGCTGGCTTGGGCTAATAATAATCATAGTAGTTTCCATGTTTGTTTCCTTGTCTGTGTTCCTCCTTCCATTTCTTCCTCTTTTTCTTTCTCCCCTCCTCTAAACGCCAATACTCCCATCCATGTCTGTATGTGACCCCCTCCGGCAGTGTCTGCATTGCCTTGGTTGAACACACTGACCTTTCCAGTTCCACATCCCAGGCATCCTTGCACCCACGTCCCTCAGCCCTCCTCCACATTGTGGTCAGGGTGCTCCTCCATGCGATTCCAGAACGTCTTCCTTCCTGGTCAGAAGTCCTCAGTGGCTCCCTGTGTCATCAGATAGGAACTCTGGTTCCCCTACTCATTTCAGCCTCAGGTCCTTCCCACTGTCCACCTCACTCGCCCTACTGAATACTATTCTCCTTCTGTCTTGTCCTCCGCCAGGAACTCTGGAAAATGTCCTCTTTACACCCTTCATCGCTGTCCGTTGGACACATCTGCTCATCCTTTAGGACTTGACTCTCATCTTCCTTGATTAGTCTGATAGAGAAATTCCTGCCTTCCTGCTTTCCATTGCTCCTTGCACACATACCAGTTGGCACCCCAGAGTTTTTATAATCATCTCCCTGCAAGTCTTTGTCATACTAATAATCTGCTCCCACCCACAGAACAGTGGCTTTGTCTTTCCAACTCAATTTTGCTAGCCTAGGACCTGGATTGTAAGTGCCATGGTGGCAGAAAATGTATCCATTTGATCCAGAGTTGCCATTCCGTGCAATTGGCAAAAGGGCCTGGTGTATGACACCTTTTCATTTAATATGTGTTGAAAGCATGAATGGTGGATTTTTTTTTTTTTTAATGTCCTGCAATGGTTTATTTAGCCCACGGATTGTAAATTGAAGAGCCATCACTGTTATCAAGTCAAGGTCATATTTTATGTGGCGTTATGGTACCATAGAGTTCTAAATTTAATAGTTGTAGATAGAGTGTGTGCTCTTCCACTTCCTGCTGTCCACTCCAGTCCTTTAATTATCATGTACTTAGCTCCCTCTGCTCATCATTGGTCTGCTGATCCTGAGACATGGTGCTGGGTGTGGGAGGTTGGCGTTGATGGTTCCTTTGGGGTGTCAGAGCAGCTTCTACTCTGTTGTAGAGGCGGCAGTTGATGTCCCTATAGTTGTAGAAGCTCCAGCTTCAAGATCAGAGTGTCCACAAACTGGGGTCTCCCGAGGCCTCTCTTCAGCTTGCAGATGGCTACTTTCTTTAATATTTTTAAACACTTTAATTTGTTGTTGGGTGGAGGTCAGAAGACAACTTGTGGGAATCAGTTCTTTCCGGCCACCATGTGGGTCCCAGGGATCAAACTCAATTCTGGTGGCAAGGCCTTTACTTGATGAACCATCTTGATGGTCCAAGATGGCTGTCTTCTTGCTGTGTCATCTCATGGTCTTTGTCCTAATAGCCTCTTCTTCTAAGGACTCCAAACACATCAGGACCCATCCATGATCTCATTTATGTAGGATTTGATCTCTAAATACAGTCCCCTTCTGAGCCACTGAGGGCTGGGGCTTCAGCCAATGAAGGTAGCAGGACTGTATTCTGTATGAGACAGAGGTGGGGCTTCAGGCAATGAGGTAACAGGACTGTGTATCCTGTAAAGGGGGGCGGGGCGTGTACTCCTCTTCTGTGGTTGCTTCCTTGTAGCCAATTCCTGTTTTATAGCATGTCAATAAAGAGGAGCCCAGAAACCTTCAGGGCGATCACAGTGTCTTCCATTCAAATCATCTCTACTTCAAGTGTTTTGATCCTGGGACCACAAGCATATATCTCAAGAAGCTAGTGTTTCAAAATGCCCAGTAGAACTTTGGTGTTTTTCTATCTAGAAATCTGTCCTCTTTCATTTGATCTTTTGGGAAGCTGACCTGTGGGCTGCACATTTCCTTTGTCGAGGTTTTGGTGGACTAGGAGATAAAAGTCTGGTAATGGCATAGCACTACCTCCATTTGCTATAAGCAAACAGTCGGGTTCTTTATTACCCTTGAAATGGGCACTCGTGACACAGGTTGGACTCAGAGAAGCGAGGCAATGCCAAGTATCTGTGGGTCAAAGTTCCTTCAAGCACCGTATGTTAATCAAAAGTTCAAGCTTAGTTAGCCAGGCCACTGGGTTGGGGAGAACTTTGGAATAAATGACTACTGAGTTGGATTTAGGAGTTACCACACTTCATAATTCTTTTCTAAGAGGCAGGCTGCAAGAGTGAGGCTTATGTCACAGTTTGATTCATTCTCTGTGGAGTAGTATAAAATAAAATCTGCTGTACAGAACCTGGCTACTACCAAGTGTTTTAGTAGCCATAAAAATGCTGAAAAGTTACAGAGACCTATCTGTGTGAGCAGAAAAGCCAGCTGTAAAGGACTCCCGAAGTTGAAGAAAAATATAGAGCCCTTATTACTTAAATCCATCATGGTGTCTCTCACAGCACTTGAGAGCCGAGAGCTGGAGGCAGGAGTTCAAAGGCCAGCCTCACCACATATATGTTAGAGGCCATCCTGGGCTACATGAGACCCAGTCACAAAGGAAAGCAAGATAAAATAAATGCCTAAGATCACCCAGCCTCAGGCAGTATAACTGAGTTTGTCACCTTGTTAAATCTGTAGGGTTTTCCCTTCCATTCGTCCTCTCCTAGTCAGAGTGAGACATTCTCCCCTTCCAATGTCATATAGCTAATATGAGTAGCAATGTAAAGCCATCAAAAGGATCTTCTTTTTTCTTGGGGGAAATTTCTCATCATGCTTGGTTATATTCCCTTGTGTGAATGAAAACAACACATTTTTCTTCTCATCTCTCCTCTACCATTCTTATCAGTAAGTCCTTAAAAGACAAACTTCTATTTCATTTATTTATTTTGTTTGTATATGTGTGGGGGCGGATGGGGCTAGGGAGAGTGTATGCACCACAGCATTCATGTGGAGGCCAGAAGACAGCTTGTAGGTGTCAGTTCTCTCCATCCACCACATCAGGACTGATGGCAAGCGCCTGCACTCACTGACTGAGCCATCTTGCTGGCCCCCATCAGTGGTTCTTAATAGTAGACTCCTCATTAGCATTTTGGGGTTACTAATGCCATCTTTTCCATTTCACAGCTCAGGTGATAAAGAAATTAGAAGGACGCTGTGCCCTTGGTCACTCAGCCTCACTCAGCCATTCCTCCAGCTCACGGAAGTTTGGTAAGTTAAGGTGGCTTCATCTTGACCTAAGAAGCCTGCAAATGGGATGTATTTCATGGAGACAGATTCTGGCAGTCCTTAAATACCCCCGCATGAAATGTTCACAGAGTGCAGTACACTTCCTTCTGGGGCTAGGGGACGGGGTACTGAAATTTCAAGAGGAGATGATAATGTGCTGACTGAATTAATGGGAACCTTGTGCTTACCAAGTGAAAATTTTAGGCTCCTAGTACTAGAAGAGAAACCTGTGCTATAGGTGTAGAAAATGGCAGCTGAATTGTGATGTAGGATAAGCAGGCCCTTCCAGATCACATGGCCTCACACACAGGTACACACAGGTACCTACCTATGCACCCACACAATGAGTCCACAAAACCATGTACATATATGGCTGCAGACCACACACACACACACACACACACACAGACACACACAATCACTCACTCACACATACACACACACACAGAAAGGAAACAAATGATGCTCTGATGTTGTCTATAGCCAGAGGTTGACTGTCAGGAAAGATCTAAGATCTAAGTAGGTGACATTTCAACAGACTCAGAAGCAAAAGAATGGCTTAGTAGGGAGAGAGGGCCTGGGGACAGATGGCACTGACTAGGGACAGTCATGTGAGGGTTCCAGCATAATCCACGAGTGCCGGTAACAAGGATTAGCACAAACCTGAAGGATTCAGGTGGAGAAGAATGGCTTCAGGTGTAGAGCAAGGGCTTGGTTAAAATTCTGGAAGAATCTCTGACGTCCTTGAAAAGGCAGATTTCAAGCCAAGAGTCAGATGTTGTGGCTGCTATGTTTGGGGTTCAGACAGAACTCTTTCCATGTTGGTCAGCATTATTCCTGGAGCTGGGTTCCAAATCTGGTTTTCCTGTGAATCCTCTGGATCCCTCACCCTCATCTCTCACAACAATGACCAGCTTCTGGTGAGAGGCCTACCTCTCACCATATGCTCCTTTTTCTGTTTTACTCCATTTTAATGGAGTCAGGCAAAGGTGATTATTAGTTTCCATTGTTTATCCCCCACGAAAGGCTAAACATAAGAAAAGTAAATGGTGTGGGTGGAGCACCCACCCTCAGCTCCTTGACTGCCTTTTGGGCTTGTTTTCCACCTTAGTTTTCTATGCTGATAACCTCGATCAAAAGTACTGTTGAAGTCAATGTTGTGGCAAATATCTGTAATCTCAGATCTTCAGAGAGGCAGGAGTTCAAGGCCATCCTCAGTTATATAACCAGTATGAGCTGTGTGAAACCCTGTCTCAAAAAAACATCTATCTATCTACCATCTATCTAATCTATCTATCTATCTATCTATCTATCTATCTATCTATCATCCCTCTCTCTCTGAATTGGTTGGTCATCTGGAGCTTGACAGTTTCTAAGTCAGTGATGAACTGAGGGTTCATTTTCTCTTAGGAACCAATCAAAGCTAGATCTTTTCAATATGTTTATAATCTCCCTTTATCACCTTTCTCTGAAAATTTTGCTTTAGTCTGAGATCAGAGTCATCAGTTTCCAAGCAGAAGAAAACATGAACTTTTTGTTTCTTCTTTTGCTATATATTAAAAAAATTGTGTGTGTGTGTGTGTGTGTGTGTGTGTGTGTGTGTGTGCGTGCACACAAGCACACCCACTGTCTGATGCAGAGGAGTCAGAGTTCCTAATGGGAACTTCAAATTAGTCGAACATCTTTGAGTTCTGACCCTTTCTGACTAAATGTCCTTTAGACTCCATTCCAACAGAATTCATGGGTTAGGAGGTAGGTAAACTAGTTAAAGTCAGAGGAAAACTTTTGGGAGTGGTTCTCTTCTACCATTTGGGTCCCAGGGATTGAACTCAGGTCCTCTGGTTTTGTGACAAGCACTCTTAGCTGCTGAGTCATCTCACCAGGCCAAACAGGATTTTTGTTTCGGTGGTGGTGGTTTTTAAGTGGCTGGTCATATTCCTGAAGTAAAGCTCAATGAAATGATGAAGTTCTCAGGAACAGCTTTCCATACAACCCTAAACTTCATTGGAGACCGAGTCTTCCGAGAACAATCCTGTTTTCATTTCAAGAAGGCACCCGCAGGTGAGGGCCTTCGAGTTGCACAATTCCTATACCAGGGAAACTTGGTAAAGAGCAAACATACCCAAAGGTTGGACAGACTGTCCTTTGTTTAGTCATGCACTGGTAGGGGCCTGTCACAAAATGTCCCTGGGTTGCTCAGAACAATCTCAGAAAAGAGTTTCTAGAAGCAACTTCTATTTTAACAAAATAGTTGTTAGCTTAACACACAGTAGTAGTATTTACTATATACAGTGTAACATTAGTACAAAGAAAGGGGTGGGGGTGGAGACTCAATTCAACTTGAAACCTGCCCAGGGCCACCGTAGGAAAAATTTTGGGGACTGTACATGAGTGCAAAAATTATCCCAGCACAACGAGGTCTCAGCAGCAGAGTCCAAGACAAAACCACAAGTTAATAGGAAATACTAACATTAATATTAACAGCGCCCCAAAGCAAATACTCAGAACATTCACAGTTCATTTCTTTGAGTGAGGATGTAGCTCCATTAGTTAAGTGTTTGCATGGCACTTACAAAGCCCTGTGCCCCATCCCAGCATCTCATAAAGCTGCATGTGGCGGTACATTATAATCCCAGCACTTGGAAGGTGGAAGCCAGAGAATCAGAAGTACAATGTCATCCTCAGCTAGCCTGGGATATGGGGACCCTGTTTTTTTAAAAAAAGTGACCCACAAAAGTTTCATAACTTCCACAATTCCTTTAGCCACCTCTTCTCTGATGAGTTGCTAGTCACCAGGTGACGTACCTCATTTTCAAAATGAAAATGGTAGAAAGGTAAAGAGGAGAGCCATGGCTTACCCAGTCATGTGGCAGACAAGTGGATGGCCTACAAGGGAGAGGTCCTTCTACAAGGAAGGGGTTTATTCCACTCTGCACAGGGAAAGGAAAACGGGACACACACAAAAATGTGTGTCCCTTGGCAGAGTAGCAGGTCCGTGGTGGCTCCATGCTTCGTAGATGCACATTTAATGGTTTGGAAAATAGAAAAACAACTCCCAAGTTCTGAGGCCAAATTATTTGGTTAAGGTCAGCAGCAACCCTTTAGGCACATTTCATGGATAACATTCAAATGTCAGCTGGGGGTTTGGGAACATGGCTAAGTCATAGAGAACTTGCCTAGTAGGTGGCAGGCTCTGGGTTCAATTCCCACTACCTGGGCATGATGACACATACCTGTAATGCCAGTACTGGGGAGCTGGAGACAGGAGGAGGGAGTAGGAACTCAAGGTCTGCTTGAGCTGTGCAGTAGGACCCTATCTCGGCATAACAAAATAAACACCAGGTTTACTAGTGTATAACTGGAACTCCAACACTCTGATCATAGAAGTAGGTGAATCAGGAGTTCATGGCCAGCCTTGGCTACATAGGATTTTTTAAAAATATTTTATTTATTATGTATACAACATTCTGCTTCCATGTATATCTGCACACCAGATCTCATGACGAATGGTTGTGAGCCACCATGTGGTTGCTGGGAATTGAACTCAGGGCCTCTGGAAGAGCAGTCAGTGCTCTTAACCTCTGAGCCATCTCTCCAGCCCCCAGCTACATAGGATTTTTAAGACCAGCCTGGGCTATGTGAGACCCTATTTTAACCCCCATGACCCCTTCAAACAATGTTTTTGAGTGGTGAATTCCAGGGACATACTCAAAACATAGCATGTGTCAAGGGCAGCTGGAGGCTAGAAAGTGCACTTTTTTACCACTCTCCAGCCAATCTGCAGGTACTCTCTAGCCCACATCAGTGGGGATGACAAACTGTTGCATGTGACAGTTTGTCTAGACCCTGAAATGCAAATCAGGTATGGAGCTCAGCAGGCAAAATGTGTAGAGTCCGTGAGGTTTATCTTGGTCATCAGAGAGCTGCCTAGAACCATAAACCAGGGTGACAGAAGGTAGAGTTGACTCAGATCTGGATTGTCCCTGCCCCTCTGTTCCATGGGCATCTTCCTGTGCCTCAGACTTCAAACACAAGCATGCACACACAGGCAGAATGCTCATACACATAAAACAAAGCTGAGAAGAGAGTTGACTTGCCTTTGTTAGAGAAAATCTTTCTCAAGTGAAAGAGGGGGTGCCTCACTCTGTTTGCTATTGTCTGCATTATATTCTAGTGGTTGGTCCTTGGCTGCTGGCAAATCCATTTTTTTTGGATTTTGCTGATCATGTAACAGTGGCATGCATATCCTTCCTTCCCCTCTTACTGGGTCATTAAAAAGCAAAACAAACAAAAACCAAGCCTTGACCCTCCCCGCCCCCCTTTTCCTCTTTGAAGCCCATGCTTATTAAGTATGCCCAGAGGCCGGCATCAAGATGATGTTAAAAAAAAAAAAAAAAAGCAGGACTTTGGTTTATAACAAGGCTTGTGTTGGTCCATACCAACCAATCCCCAACGTGCTCCCAAGGCTGATTCTAGGCCCAACTTAGATTCCTAGTGGCTTCCTAGTGAGGAGTAGCATCATTGCACTGCTCTCCATTGTAGGACTCCTAGCCCAGAACAAGATCATCATCATGCACAGGGTAGCATTGGGAAAGTCTGCCCTGAGCCCTCTTGGGCTTCCCTGTTGCTCCTAGCAGAAAGCACAGCAAAATTTGAAATTTAAGATGCAAATAACTCGGAAAAGCCAACCGTTTTGGGGAACCTGCATTATTCAAAAGACAGTGAAGGAAGCCTAATGGCTCCACTCTGAGATTTTGGAGTCTGAGCTAGCAGCTCCAAGCTTTCCTTTCCAAGTCAGTGGCTTCACTTGGATTCTTTGGGGTTTAGTTTTCTCATTTGGATGAGGAAATCAGAGGTACAAGTGAAGTTGGCACAGAAGAGTTAGCAGAAGACGGCATTTGTCTAGTATTTACTGCTAGGCATAGTGGGTCATTCCTGTAATCCCAGCACTCAGGAGCCTGAGGCAGGGAGATCACCAGGAG